AAGGACTTCTGTTGCGTTAGAAGGACATCCAAAACTTTATCCATAGGGGGGGTGGTGGAACTAGCGTGGCACTGAGAGCTTTCAGGTGCAGCAGTCGATACTTCTTGAGATAGCGGGGTTCTAGGCATAATTCGCTGTGGTCTTTCTTCCTCTTCTGACCAGCATAGTGCCTCCTCCCTCAAATCCAAGAATGAAGGGTCACGCTCCCTGATGAACTTCTTCAGTTCTTATCGAAGGAAAGGATCCCTCACATTGTCCGCAAATTGGTCTCGCAGAGTCTTTTCTGGTCATATTGCAATGTCATGCACAATTGTGAGCCTGGTCACATATACCTGAGGGTTATATACTTTCAATCTTTTCTATACCCTCTTGGATAGTGTATACCTGAGGGTTACTTTGAATCTCTACTATATATACCCTCTTGGGTAGTGTATACCTGAGGGTTACTTCTAATCTCTTCTTTACCCTCTTGGGTAGTGTATACCTGAGGGTTACTTTTAATGTTTTCTCTACCCTCTTGGGTAATGTATACCTGAGAGTTACTTTTAGTATTTTCTTAACCCTCCTGGGTAGTGAACAACTGAGGGTTACTTTTAATCTTTTCTCTACCCTCCTTGGTGGTGTCATTCTCGGAGACTCAGGGGCCTTGGGTCGATTTCAAGTTAGGGCGGAAGAGCCCCTGGGGACATTGTCTTACAAGACTAGTTCCAGACGGTCGCAGTCGTTCTGCCATCTGATTGGTGCCAGAAAATCTTTGTGTTTTTCTGCCCAATCAGAGTGAAGTGTACTTTAGAGTCCTTTCGTGTGTATTAACACGGACATATACTAATAGCTTAGTTGCTCGCTATGTTTGTTTGGGCTGTGCGACGCAGATTTTCTAGAGGTGAAAAGTTTCAGACTCAGCACACAATGTAAGAGAAATCGATCAGATTGTCCGCGAAAATCTTACCGGAAATTATACTGAATACTTTCGCAGGTATCACTAGAGAACGTGTATTAAAGTTTGCGAGGTTTGTATTCAACACGATGGTTGCAGTCATTGATATGTCGCTTTAAACGTTAAACGAGATTTGAGCTTAAATCTTTCTAGATTTTTTGCATAATTTGCTGTGACTGAAACTTTGCCAATCCCGTGAAGTTATTTCGTCGCACGTGCCACGCAGGTATGTCGAGCAACTGGCGCTTTCGCCTACGTAGCTTTCTGCTTTCTGTGCGCGCCAAAATCTAATCTTCGCTTTGTAGTAAAGTCGTTCACA